AAGCTTACGCAAGGTCGTGACTCCGGACTCTGGCATCTGAGTGGTATAAATATCAGGGACAAGGGGCAGGCAGTGCAGAACACATTTGCAAGGATTTCACTATGTTCAAGACATTTACACCTGCATGCCTTCATCTGGGGGTCAAGAAAAGATTCCAGCCACCAGAGCACAGGAACTTAGCCCCTTAAAGCCCAGAAAGTCAGGGTGCTGGCAATATCTTCACACATTAAAATCAGGAGGCTGGAGGTGAGTGTGTCTTTAGCTCAGAGGAAATCCACCCCTGAACTGACAGCAAAAGGAAAAATAGAAGCCGGGTGTGGTGGTGCACACCTGTCATCCCAGCACTCTGGGAGGCTGAGGCAGGAGGATCCCAAATCTGAGCCCAGCTGGGACAACTTAGCAACTTAGAGGCCCTGTCTCAAAGTAAAAACATTTTAAAGGGCTGGGGACGTAGCTCCGTGTGAAGGCCCTGAGTTTGATTCCTAATACTGAAAAAAAGAAAGGGAGGGAGGGTAAAAGAGAGAAGCATCCTCACTTCCCAGCTTGTACCGTGGGTCCTGGACAGCACCCACACACAGATGGGCCCGCGTCTCTTTTTGGGGGGCGGGGTAGTGGGGAATCGAACTCGGGTCCTTGCACTTGCAAGGCAGCGGAAACACTGAGCTAAATCCCCAGCCCTACCTTGTCTACCTCGTTTTTTCCTTCTTTTATTTCTCCTCCTGGCCACGGGACTGAAGCTTCCGGTAGGGGTTGAAATGTGGCGCTGCTCTGTGTTCTGCGAGCCACGCGCGTGCAAGTGGGGAGGAATCGGAGAACCCGCGGCTCCGAGGCCGCAGGCTGAGTCCTGAGCCATAAAAACGCCAGCGACTGCACTGCCTGCCCGGGCGGGCGCTCGTCCTCCAGGCATCTGGGGATGGTGAGGCGCAGGTGGCCATGCTGACCAGCTGGGGGCGCTGCTGAGTGCTGCATCTGAACTGCCCACTCCCTCATCGAGAGGGGCTGCCTGCACAGTCCTGCCCCTGGAAGGCCTGGGCCCGGGGGTCCCACCCGCTTCTCTGCTGTCCCAGGGTGGGCAGCAGGCGGCCCTCAGCACTCTGTGCTTGACAGCCGGTCCAGGTGACTGGAGCTCAGGCCGGCCACATGTGCCTCTGTCGTGCACACACGATGCTTTTCCTGGCTGACTTCCTCACCGTCTCCTCCTGCTCAGCTCACCCATCCCTGGGAGGCTGGGCCTAAATAAATCTACAGAGACAGGAGGGCACTCTGGGCAGGAGACTGGCCGGCAAGGGGTAGCCAGGAATTTGGGGACCGTGGCAAAGTCGTATACCTTGATGAGTCTGCATGTCATGTACGGTCGTTAAAACTCGTGGGTCTGTGAATTTACAAAGGATACATTTCAATGAACATAAATTATGCATTAACAAAGTTGATTTTAAAACACAGTCGCGACTTGAGAGGGTCCAAGACCAAACCCAGGGCTACTGGAAAGGGCTGTACCCAGTCGATAACCTTTCCCTTCTTGCATCTGCAAATCTTTTCCTTAGCACTCAGCAAATACGTGTTGATTGTTGGGGACCCGGGACAACAGCCGGCTGAGTACACAGAAAGACAGAGAGGCCCCACTTCAGAGGCAGCCGGGCTAACAGACCTTCCTGGGCACTTGGATGGGGGTTCTGGCCCTGAGAGCCCCTGCAGGCTGACTCTGCAAACATCCAAGGGGTCCCTTCCCCGAGGATTTTAACAGCAGGTCGCCTCCTGTGCTCTAAATCTGACCGTAGTGCAGGAGGGGACACTGTAGATCCCAGGTGGAAATTTGTCATTGTTACTCACTGCCCTAAGTTACCACGGATGTCCAGAATCCCGAGGTTGGTGTTTGGTGATGTTTTCCTCTCAGGATGAGAGAAGTCTCCAGAGTGTGTGAGGGGTCAGGCGTTAATGACCCCAGACCAAACTCTCCCACCCCTTGCTTATTGACGAGCACGCAGCTAATCAAGGGCGCAGAACACATAATTAAAAACCCGGTGAAGTTTCGGTTCTCCAATTTCTCAGACGACCTGTTCACACATCACAAGGAACACTTTCCTGAGGTCTAGACAGCAACAGTTCTGAGACAGGATTTGCTTTGCATGGGGTTGGTCGTAGGTGACCGGCTCTCCTCCGAGGCCCTGGCTGGACACGAGAGGCGGGGAACAGAGCCCGGGCCCAGGCCCGAGAGACAAGGGCCAGCCGCCTGGGCCCGTGCCCCAGCCACCCAGGCGTGCAGGCCTCAGATGCACCTCAGCCAACCCCAAGTCAGGAGCCTGTAATTTTACAGAGCCCATTTCTAACGTCCATCAGGGTCCCAGCCGCACATTTCCCTACCAACAACCCACTTCTGCTCTCGGTGCCATCGCTCAGACACCTGGTGTTGACGGCCGGGAGAGCACAGGGGCGCTGCGGAGCCGGGCCCACTGCTCCACACCACCCAGAACCAAGGGTCCCCAGGCCCAGACCTTGCAGCACCAAGTCTTCAGCTTTTGCTTTGTTGTTTTCGGTTTTTTACAGTAGCAAAAAGACAAGTTTATTGTGGCTCTGACTTGTGGTCATTCAGGGACTCAGGTTCTGACCTTGCAGTGACTCAGGGATTCAGTCTCCGATCCAAGAAGTTCCTTGGGGAATTCAGTTTCTGATTCAGGTGGCCTCTCAGGAATTGAGGCTCTAATCCAGGTAATCACTTAATGATTTAGGCTCTGATTTAAATACTCAGGTATTTGGGCTCTCATTCACGTGGTCTCTCCAGGATTCCGCTCTGATGCACACAGTCGCCTGAGAATTTAGGCTCTGACCATATGGGCACCGAGGGATTCAGGCTCTGACCTACAGTCACTTGGGGACTCAAGTCCCGTGGCGTGGGGTGTCCCCTTGGGTATGTCAAAGCTGGGTCATGGGCATGTTTATGCCCCAGCTCGCGGGTAGAGCCTGGAGGAGTCTCCTCCCAGTGCTTCCACCTAGCGGCTCCTGACATTGGCCCGTGTCACTTCTGCCCACGTTCCGTTGTAAGAACTCAGTCCATGGCTGGTCCAGCTGCACGGGAGGCTGGGACGGGGCCCAGACGCAGGTCTGTTCCTGCAGGACAGACTGCAGGAGGCAGCTTCCCTCTCCATAGCACGCCTTTTCCTTTGCACACTCAGCATCCACGCAGCCCCTGCTGAGTCCGGGCCCTTCTCCGTAGGACGCCCCTCGCTGCTCTTTCCGCCCCTCGCTGCTCTTTCCGAGTAGATGTCTTCAGGGAGTGGCTCGGCCTCCGGGCCTTAGTCTTCATCTGCTATGTGGGCTCACCCAGGGCAAGGTGCAGCCTGGTAACACCCTTAGCCTGCTCTGCAGCCCAGCCTGGCAAGGCTCAGGCCAGCACATGGGGTCCAGCTCCTCCAGTGTGGGCCCGAGTATTTCTCAGACCCAGAGCGAAGGGGGGCAGCTCCATCTCCTCCACCTCCGAGATGGGCACGTCCCCAAAGGGGCTGGGGCTGCGACACCAGAGGTGGCCAGGCCAAGCGGCAGCTCAGCAGGAGCAAGGCCACGGCACAGGATCCAGGGCAGGAATCCCCAGCTCAAAGAATTCCCTGGCAGGTGGACTGGAGGCTGGGACCTCGTGGGCCCTGTCCTGCAATGGTGGCCACCATCACCCACAGTTAGCAGGGCCCCCGGGGGAGGTCGGGCAGGGTGGCCTTCCCAGTGCTGCTGCTCCGGAGGGTCTCAGCTGCTCCGTGCACACCAGGTGTAGTGGGAGAGGTGGCCCCGGAGCCGATGCCTTGAGACCTCTCCACAGGCCACTGCTGGGGTCCCGAAGGGGTCATCCGGGAGCTGCCAAAGTGCTGGACCTGCTGCAGACGCTAACTCCTCTCCAAACCCCCAGACCAAGGGAGCAGGGACAAGGCTCTGTCAATGAGATGCAAGAGGGACCCCTCTTGTGAAATTGCCTTGGGATAAGGCCTGGGTGACAGGGGTTGATCTGGTAAGTGACCCCAGGAGACACCAGCAGGGCAGAAGTGAGGTGGTATAAGGAAGGCAGCCAGGCCATGTGTGGTGGCACACGCCTGTAATCCCAGCACTCAGGAGGCTGAGGCAGGAGGATCGCTGTGAGTTCGAGACCAGCCTGGGCTCCATAGTGAGTTCCAGGTCAATCTCAACTACATAGTGAGACCCTGTTTCAAAAAACAAACAAACAAATCAGCCAGGCTTGGCGTGGTGGCGCAGGCCTGTAATCCTAGCACTAGGAGGCTAAGGCAGGAGGATTGCTTCAAGCTCAAGGCTGCCTGAGCTCCATAGTGAATTCAAGGCCAGCCTGAACTACATACCAGACCTGTCTCAAAACACACACACACACACAAAA